GGGAGCGCGGCGGCGCGCAGCAGGGCCGCGTCAGCGTGGGCAGCGTGTACCGGCCCAACCAGAACGGCCGCGGTGAGTACCGTCCCGCGCCCCGCCGGCCGCCCTCCGGCTCGCGGTCACGGCCACGGCCGTCCGTGGGCCACCCCCGAGCTAAGTGAGGAATCCCCCCACCCGCCTCGACAGCCACCGTGCGTCCCACCTCCCAGCCTCCCCAGGTCCACGCACCGTTGGTGGCGGGATTTGGCCAGGCAGGCCTGGGCTCTGACCCTGGCTGGAGGGGTCGGGGAGGGAGGGACTGGCTGGGCTTGGCAAGGAGGCACCTTCCAGACCTGGTTTGGGTCATCTGGGGACCAAGGGAAGGAGACCTTCTTCCTGCCCCTCCCTCATTTCAGCAGGGCGAGTCTTCCACCCCTGGAGGTGCCCCTAGGCCGACCCCACAGGGTGAAGCAGGGAGCATCAGCGTCAGAAACCTGGGTCTTCAGGGTCCGAAAGGCCTTGGGGCATGCCCCTGGAGGTGTGGCACTGATTTTGATTTTTAAAAGTACTGCTGCAAATACTACTTCTGGTTATTGAGTTTTCTGGCGCCCAGGCCAGTGCCTCCCTCATTTCACTCAGCTCACTGGGGTGCTGGCCCTGGGGGAGAGCCCCAGGGGGGGAGCTGTAGACATCCCTCCCTCTGTCATTTTCTGGCGGGAGGGGGCCCGCGAAGATATGATCCGGTCTTGGGAAGGCCCGAGCCATCTGTACGTGAGAACACAGCGAAGGGGCAGCTTTTCCTCCTTGAGACGGACAACTCCACACATGCTGTTAGCAGGCGGGCTACTGTGGTGAGAGCCCACTAGGGGCCTGGCCAAGGCTAGATGGCTATCAGCCCACCCTCTGCTGTCCTAGAATTCCCCTTTCTGCCTCTGTATCTGCAAGTCCAAAGTCAGCTGCAGTCAAGGTTTTCCGTTCAGTCCCTCCAGGCTGCAGTCAGTGCCCCAGTTCTCTGCTCCCCACCAAGGTTGCCCGGCCAGGCTTGCCAGGTGAGGGCTGAGGCCCGCAGGGCCCGGGGCAAAGACACAACAGCCCCAGACTTTGCTTCTCTGCCGCTGTCAGCTCAGGGCCTGCTGCTTTGTCTCCAGCCACACCGACCTGGGTGAGAGGCTGCTGCGGGGGGTGGGGGGTGGGGGGAGGGTTTCTGTCTCCCTCGGGGCTGCTGGAGTCCAAGGCTAGGGGAGAGGAGTGTCCCCACTGGTAGGACCCGCTGCCTCACATCCACGGCAGAGCACTCAAGTTGGGTGCTGAATCCCGCTTGGAGAACCTGCAGGGGCCTCGGGAGAGGAGCCGGATGGGGGCCCCTTCTGTGATGCGATGAAGGATGCGTGCTCCTGCCCACCGTGGCCTCACCCACATCGGGTCCTCACTGAGACTTGCTACAGCCTGGCAGCAGGGTGCTCTAAGCTGGGCATCATCTGCTCCTAGAGCTCCTTGGAGGAGAGGGCATCCCACCTTATAGGGTGCTGAGCTTTCGAGGTGGCTTTCTGAGGATCCACGACCTCAGACTGGGACTCCTCCGGAAGTGCCCCACTCCTGGGCATGGGAGAAATCAGAGGCGGCCAATGCTACAGCTCTGCTGGCAGAGCTAGGCCCGGGACTCAGCGTCTGTGAGCCAAGCCAGTGGGTTTTCCAGGGCCCCTGTTTGGCCTGACAGTTCCTGAAGTTCCGAGGCAACCAGCCAGGGCCAGGCCATGTGCAGAGCGGCGGTACTTGGTGCTTATCAGAGTCTCTGGTCTTGCCCCTGAGCCCCACAGTTCGTTTGGGGTTAAAAGTGTGCTGGTAAGCATCACATCCGGCCCCTGCTCTGGAGGAGGCATGGCAAAGGGGACGCGTCCGTGCTGTGATTGGGCAGGCATTAGAGGCATGAACTAGGGGATCCCAGGTGAGGGGCCTCCCCGGTCAGGGGCTAGGGGTTCAGGGAGGACTTCCCAGAGGAGGAGGTACCTGTGCGTTGCTGCAAGTGATGGCCATCGGCCCCCTCCAGGTGCTCCTTCCCCTAGTCATGGGGGAGGGGGAGTATTGGTGTGGGGATGGGAGGGAGTGTGGGGGCGCAGGCTAGTTTGGGGCTCACAGAGAGACCAGGGAAGGAGCAGTACCTTCTCCCCCATCATTGACTCCCCCTTCCCACCCTGCTAGGCCCAGACCATGGAAAATCCCAGTTAGGAGAAGGCCAAGCCTTGTGCTTGAGATCAGACCCCCAGGCCTGGTGTGGGAGTCCAGGCAGATTCTCTGGGACTGACCTCATTCCTCCTGGCCACACACCCAGGGGTCTGAGGCTGGGTGCTGGCAGCCTGTGTGTGTGTGGGCGTGGATGTGTCCTCACAACACCAAACACATGTGCGCTCCGCCCACGTCCCTCCATGTTTGGGCACTTTCCAAGCGTCTGTCCAGAGCCCGGTTTATTCCTCTGGCGCCTGCACCCTCTTCCCTCCCACCCAGGGCTGGGGCTGCCCAGACCTCCTGCAATCCCATTGTCTCCAACTCTGCAACTTGTAACTGGAGAGAAGACCAGGAAACAGAGGCCCAGAGAGGGGCACATACTTTGCCTGGCTCTCAGCAAATCCGTGCAGATGCCTGGAGGGGGGCCGGCAGCTTCCCAGGCCTCGCCGTGTCCCCTGCACGGCGCCTCTCCCTCCACCATGCTCAGGCCCTCCCTTCCCGGCCTCCTATCCCTGCTCCTGCCCCCGCGCCCAGCTTCAGCTTTTCTGAGCTGGTGGTCTTTGGACCAACTAAGGTGACTCCAGGTCTCTGAAGACCACAGCTCTTCCCCCAGGGCTCCCCCTTCCAGCCCCGGCCAGCTTCACCGGCCCTGGCAACCCTGTGGAAGCAACACGGAGCAGCCTCCCTGGCCATTCTCCTGGGGCCTCGCTGATGGCTGCGCCAGCTTTGTCTGGCATGGTCCTCCACCCCTGTCCTCACATGGCCAATCAGCCCAGGAGGAAGCTCTGGCTGCCTCCTCCCTGGTCCCCTGCTCCCAGCCTCTCCCTGGCCAGTCCCTCTACGCGTGGGGCAGATAAAGCCCTGGAGTGCTGACTGTATTATTCTCCCGCTCAAGAACATGCTGTGGTTCCTGAAGGCTTTCAGGACAAAATAAATGCCTTAGCCTACCGTTCCAAAAGCAGAGGCACCTCCTTCCTTTCCTTCTCCCTGCCTCACACCCCACAGACTCCTGGGAACCGGGCTGCCCCGGCCTGGAAGTCTCACCTCCTTGTACACCCAGAGGTGTTCCTAGCGTACTCCCCTCTCCATCTAACCTCCCGCACTCAAGAAGCCAGACAGGACCCCTTCGTCCCTGAGAGCAGTCCTGGCTCCCTGCCCCCATCCCTACGCCCAGGCCAACCCCCCACCCTTGCCTCCCCTTCTCCAGGTCACCTCCCTACCTCCACAGAGCTTGGAGTAGATGCAGGGAAGGACAGAAGCTGGCCTCTACCCAAAAAGCATCCAGAGTTCGAGCCCTAAGGAGGGGATGATAATAACAACCCGGCCATCTGCTGAAGAGCACCCCCGTGAGCAGGGTGGCTGAAATGTGCACTGTCACTCACCCTCACAGCCTCCTGGAGAGGTGGGGGTGGTACTCCTCTGGCACAGTTGAGAAAGCAGAGATCTAGGGAGGCCTCCCAGCTGGCGCGGCCGACCGGAACTCAGAACGAGCCTGTCATCTCTGCGCCGCACCCAGATGACCCTAGGAAGACCCACACTCCACCTGCGAGCCAGGTGGGGCAGGCCAAGCACCTCGGCCTCCTCCAGCAGCTCTCTGGGCCTCAGTTTCTCCAGCTGCAGCCAGGGGAGGGAGAATGACACTAGCATTTGTGGGCACTTTACGCATCACAACCCTTAATTATTGTAGCAACCCCACGAGCCTGGTACCGTTCTTCGTCCCATCTCATAGATAAGGCGACAGGCTCGTCTGCTGATGTTCACACAGCCTCTTAGTCGTGAAACCAGGTTGTGAGTCTGCATGAACCCCCATCCTGAGTTCTTAACCACCAGACATAATTTTGTTCAACTTGATGTATTCTTGCCTCTCCTGCACACCTCATTTATTCATTCCTTCAGATATTTGCCTGTCCACTATGTTCCAGGCACAGGTTGTGACAGGCTGAGTCAGGACAGCGGATCTGCAAGGTTTTGGAAGCAGAGTCCCTTCCTGGTGTGGTGTTTGCGAAGACTTGCCATTCTCACTCCAGACTCCAGAACACTTACGTCACAAGCACTTATATCATGCTTTCTCGGTGTCTTCTACACTTCCTGGAGCTTTATGATTAGAGTCCATTAATGCTCAGGGCAACCCTAGGTATTATTTATCTTCCCCATTTAGCAGATGAGCAAACTGAGGCTCTCAGAGGGTAAGTGGCTTGTCCAGGTCACATCACTGGTGACTGGCAGAGCCAGAATCACAGCTCAGCCTTCCTTTCTCCTTCCCTGAGGCTGTCTTGGGAGCTCCTTCAGAAAGAAATGGAGCGTTCAGGCTGAGGAAGCTGTCGTGAGGGGTCAGACGAGCTGTGGAGACAGAGGGACCTGGGTCCTCTTCCTGCTCCCCCGTTCGGCAAAGGTCACTAGTGTCAGAACGAACAAGTTGTGTCCCGAGCAGCCTCATCTCAGGCAGACTTCCTGTCTCCTCTGTTATCATCCGGTTGCAAGGCCACATCCTCTCTCCCCTGGTCTCAAGCTGGACCATCCCTGCAAAAAGAGATGGCTCCTATTTTAAATAACAATCATAGAAGCTGCTATTTCTCAAACACTGACTGTGCACCAGACACAAAGCTAAGCACTGGATTTTCGTTTTCTCATTTAGTGGCCCCAGCAACCCCGGGAGGTAGAGAGTATCATCGCCCCCGTGGTGCGGACCAGGAGCCCGAGCCTAGAGAAGCTCAGTGACTCATCTGAGGTCTCAGGACATCGGCGGCCAGGCTGGGAGCCAGGCTGCCCCTCTGCCCTGCTGGACGGCCCAAGCCTCTCCACTCCTACCCCTCAGGGAAAGCTATCTCCTTGTTTCTCTCAGGTCTAAAACCCTGGAAAACCCAAATTTGGAC